TAGGTAGGTGCTGGGTTGTGTGAGGTCTCAGCAGACTTGTCCCTCACCTCCCAAGTTTATCTGACCTCTTCATGGTCCCCAAGGTCTGTAGTTAGGGGTCATGTATTCTGAAGGACAGGCCCTGAGGTTACTGCCCCTCCCATACTCGGTGCTGTGCTGGATTGCTTTTGCTTTTGCTGGTTTTGTCTCCTGTTTGAGAGCTGGATTTCTAAAACTCTTCATCAAGGGAACATCTGGAGTGGAAGGTGGGGGACACAGGTTATTGGGCCCTATCCAGTCCAGATTCTAGTTAAACCCCCCGAGGGGATCTAGGAACCAGAGCTCTGCGAAGGTGCCTTATTTAGGAAAAAGAGGCAAGTTTAATGGAGCCCCCTGGTAAGGATTCTTGTAATTATCCCTGTATCTTCCTTTCCTCCTGTTCTGGCTTTCAGAGCTTCAACTTGGCCTTGTTCTTCTTTGTGACCCCCTCTCACCCCCACCCCCACCCCGCTCGACCTCTGGCCTTGAATGTAGTTGGTACTAGAGTTCTGTTGGTAGAATACATAAGTGGATGAGTGATTTGCATTGCACAATGAATTCGAGGGAAAACAAAAAGCAGGTATTTAATTTTGTAAAGCTATTAAAGGGGGAACATGTAAGAGTGAAAAGAGTGCTGATATCATGTTGGAAAGTCTGAATTTAGCACTCTATGATGGCCTGGCCTTGGGCAAATCCTCTAACCTCCCGGCTGATGTCCTCCTCTGTAAAATGGAGTGAAGGTCAGAAATGGTAATAGGTGTGAATGTGTTTTTAAAACTAGAAAGTGGATTCAAATCAGGAGTGAAGAATGGTCATGGTTGGGACCGGGGCACAGAACCAGCACAACAGGGTTGCTGTGTGGTCAGGTCCAAGGCCTTAGGCTCTACAGGGACCAGGAAGGAATTTGAGTGGGATGGCAGCCCAGGCGTGCTCGAGGCCTGCTTCCCTTTTATTCTGTCCGGTTCCTGCACCAACCAGGGCCCTCCATTCTGTGAGCCACTGTCCTAGTCCTGCTGGGCCCCAGAGGCTGTGGCCACATTTTGCGGTTTCACAGGTGCTCCATGGACAGTCCCCAGGGAAGGCTTTAAGGTGAGGTTCCTGTGCTTTAGGGTAGGGAGGAGGTGAGGAGAGGAAGCTCCAGGGATGGGTGAGCAGCTGGCCTGGGAGTTGACCAAGACTAGTCATGCATGCCTGTACCCACTCAGCAAATACTTGAGTGCCTCCCAGGATGAGACTCTAGAGCCTAGTCCACGTGATCAGTCTACGGAGAATTCGAATGAGAGTGATGCGAGCTGCCTGGAGTTGGGACGTGCAGGCCTGTCCCAGTGCCTGGCCTCCCTGCAGTCTCTGGGCTGACCTGTTACTGTCCTCTGACCATTCCCACCTGATATCTGCCTTCACCCCGATTGTCTCCGTATGTGTAGGAGCCCACACCATGCAGAGCTTTGTTGGGCCCAGGGAATGGAGAAGGCAGTGGACCAGAGTAAGTGGCGTGTATGTGCATCTCCCCAGCAGCAACAGCCCTCCCGCCTTCGTGGGCTCTTCAAGTCACTGTGCTATCTAGGGCCACCTTAGCAGTCTCGTAGGAGGCATGACACCTCACTTTTCAGGTGAGAAAAACAATTGACGCCATCAAGGTATTGACCCTGAGCCACATGGCTAGTCAGTGGTGGAGCCAGGACTTGAAGTCAGAGCTTTACAGATTGGGGAAAATTGGAATATTGGGAAAAATTTAAAAACATGTACTCTTTGTCTGCTTTCACAATCAATACATGTAAAAATGTCAGTTTTATAAATGGGGAGGACTTATAAAGTGTAAGTCACTACCTCTAAACCCCCACGGGTAGGAGATAATTCCTGTTCACAGTTTGTTATGTTGTCCACATTTTTAAAGACATTCACTGTTATTTCACTCATATTGGAATCTAATGAACAAACTGAACTATCAAGCAAAATAGAGACAGACTCAGATAGAGAGCAGGCTGCCAGCTGTGGGGTGTGTGTGTGGAGGGATTGAAGAGAAAAAATAAAGACATTTACTAATATTTATTTTCATTCTTGTTGTAGCAAGTGTAATATTATACACATATTTTACAATTTTATTTGTTTAGCCTCACTGGAGGATATGTTTATTGTTTTGAGAGAGAGAAAGAGAGAAATATCAGTGTGAGAGAGAAGCATTGATCAGTTGCCTCCCGTACACATCCTGACCGGGGATCACACCCACAACGTAGGTGTGTGTCCTGACCAGGAATTGAACTTGCAACCTTTTGGTTTATGGGACAGTGCTCCAGCCAACTGAGCCACCCAGCCAGGGCTTCAATTTGTATATATTTTGAAATAAAGACAAATATATTTTTAAAAAATAAAATAAATTTAAAAAGTGAATCCCCATTCATCATCAAGCTCCAACAACCATCAATTTTCCTGTTCTTATGTAATCTTTGCTCTCCACTTTCACTTTTTCCCCTGGATTAAAGCAAATCTCAAACATCTTATCATTTCTTCATTAATACTTAAGTATGTTTCCAGAGATGAGAATTTTTCAGAAACATTACACAATACTAAACTAAATTATCATACTAAACAAAATTTAACAATTCCTAATATCAACTAATATCCAGGTTAAGTCTAATTTTTGTCAGTCATCTCACAAATGTCTTTTTACAGGGGTTTGTTTGATTTGGTTCCCGTGAGCCCCTCACACTGCTGCTGGGTGGCATGTCTCAAGTGTCAGTCTCTATACACCTCCACACCCCTCCCATGGGATTTGTTTTCTGGAGAACTTGGGCTCTTTGCCCTGTAAAAAGTTCCGCATTCTGGATTTGCTGATCGCCTCCTTCTGGATTTAACACATGCATCGATGCCCCACATTTTCTGTAAATGGGTAATTCATTTAAAGACTCGATTAAACTCTGTTTCCTTTTTGAAGACAAGAATGCGTCATTGTTGGAGCTGTGTACTTCTTATTGCATCATTTAAGAAGACTGTCATTTAAGATTGGTCCATGAACCTGACTTTATGGTTATCTTTCTGCACATGTACACACAAAATCCTTCATGTTATTTATTTTTAAAATATATTTTTATTGATTTCAGAAAGGAAGGGAGAGGAAGAGAGAGATAGAAACATCAATGATGAGAGAGAATTATAGATTGGCTGCCTCCTGCATGCCCCCCTACTGGGGGTTGAGCCCACAAACCGGGCATGTGCCCTTAACCGGAATCGAACCCGGGACCCTTCAGTCCACAGGCCGAGGCTCTATCAACTGAGCCAAACCAGCCAGGGCAAAAAAATCTCTCATTTTAAAAGTTTGTGTTTTTGTGTGTGTGGTTGTTTTTTTTGTTTTTTTAAAGAAACACAGGTGTTGAGTGGTTGAGCTAGAAAGACAAAGAAAGGCCATGATGTGGCCCCCACAAGCAGGCTTCATTCTGTGTGAGGAGGGGGAAGCACCGATCGTGGGGAAGGTCTTGGAGCCACGGCCAGCAAAGCACTGGTGCTGCCGGCAGCCAGCGAGCTGCCCTTCTGGGACCTCACGTAAAATGATGAAACTGAGTGAAAAAGTGGCGGTGAGCCGGTTCCTCTCCGAGCTCAAGTCACTGAGCTGCTGTCGTGGGGAGGGACACCCGTGAGTCCAGAGTCCTGGGTGGTGGTGTGCGGAAGGCTGCTGGGTCTGAGGACTGTGGCTTCTCGGTCCTTGCCTTCTCATACTTTGGAAGCTGAAATCGGGGTGGCCCTCCGGTGCTCCACTGGTGAGTCTCGGATTGGGGTGGGCTGTCTGCTTGCAGAGAGTGGGTAAGAGGACCCTTCGCAGCACAGTTTCGGGGCTGGAAAGGGTGCCTCCATGTACAGATGAGAAAACTGTGGCCCAGAGAGGAGAAGGGAGGTTCCCCAAACCACCCATCCCCTGGAACCAGCATCCAACCTCCGGTTCTCCGACTGTGCTGGCCAGCTAGCCTTTCCTCCTTGGAATTTCTGAGGTGGTGAGGGTGGCCGATGAGGTTCTTCACCATCTGCACCCAGAATGTCTGAGGATCCTTTGGTGTTGGCCTTACTGTCCTTCTTGTTCAATTCCTGGCAGAGTCTTTGCTTTGGAAGAGGTGATGAACGTGGTCGCTTTCTCCCAGCATTTGGTGGCCAGCGTGTTCTGTGGTTTGAGTACAAACTGAATGTCATGAGTCCCAGTCTCAGCTCCACACTAATCAGTTTGCTGAGAATTCTCAAGCCACAATTTCCTAAAAAGATTGGACCGGGTTTGCCCAAAGCATGGTGTGAGTGTGCCAAATGGTTTTCGGTGGTATGAGGAGAAAAGGTTTCCCTTCATTATACTTATATTTATTTATCCCTATGGTAAGCAATACTGGTTTTCTATTTTCTGCAGTTTCATAAGCCTCCGCTTTAAAGGTATTGAGTTGGTAGATTTAGATGAAATAAGTAGGTGATATTCTAACCTGGCAGAAGGCGGATTGCAGAGATGGCAGTGTGGAAGGCATTGGACCAGATGACCTTCCTGGTCCTTCCTCGCTTCCTCACCTCTCAGAGTTACAGGGTTTTCTTCCTATTCTGGCATATGCCAGTCACTATCCTTCTGGCCTGAGCAGACTCCCCTGCCAATATAGAGGCTCTCCAAAGTTAGGGGACAGCCTGCGAACGTTCAGTTTGACTGAGCATGTCTTTATCAGCCGGGCGTTATCCTGGGAGAATGTAGGGACAGGGAGGTCCAGTTCCTGTGGAGTCATCGGAAGCTGCTCTGTATTGTGCGGTTTGTGTGGTAAATTCTGGGCCGTGTTCTTTGAAAGTTTCTGAGTCCTTGCTGTCTGGGTAGTGCCCCACGACTATCATCCTCTGCAGCTCCTGGGAAGTCTACTTGGGGGTTCAGTCCTAATCTGAACATCTGGAACTGAGAGAAGATGGTGGGGGGTTGGCATGGAGGTGAGGGGGTGAGCTGCAGAAATGGCAATCCAGGGCTCTCTGCCTTTCAGGACTTTCCTGGGAGCGTCTTCACTCAAGAGTTTGCTGACAGCCAAGCCAAGGATGGCAAGTAAGGGGCCCTCAGCCTCTGCGTCCCCTGAGAACTCCAGTGCGGGGGGACCCAGCGGCAGCAGCAATGGTGCTGGCGAAAGCGGAGGGCAGGACAGCACCTTCGAGTGCAACATCTGCCTGGACACAGCCAAGGATGCCGTCATCAGCCTATGCGGCCACCTCTTCTGGTCAGTGCCCCCTCCCAGAGCACACACTGCTCGTTTCGGAAAGCTCATAGCCCTGCACAGAGCTGGGGAAGGTTCCCACACACTTCGGGTCCTGCCATACTCAGGTCCAAAGACAGGCAACCTGGGTTCTCATCCCAGCTCGGGGGCCAATCCAGTCCCCACCCTGGGCTCCGTATCCCCATCTCTAAAGTAACAGCTCCCCATTTAGTGAGCACTTACTGCTTGCTACTTGCTTGTTAGCCAGGAGGCAGGATAGTGCAATGGTGTTGAGCAAGGACTGTGGAGCCAGGCTGCCTGGCTATGAATCCCGACTCTTCCACTTTCCTATGGGATGACCTTGGGCAAGGTACTTACACGCTGCCTCATTTTATAGGGTTGTGAGCGTTAAATGATGTGAAATACGTCAAAGGCTTAGAAGAGCACATAGCACAGAGTAAATATTATGTGTTAGCTGGGATCCTAATAATTGCTACCATATTTTACGTAGCTTATCAAAATGAAGTGGCAGTCAGTGTCCGTTCCAGCCTCGATGGTTACAGAAGCCCCTCTTGGCTCTGAGAATCTGGGTACATGTTTAGATCTTAAGAATTAAGCCAGGGTATCATTGGAAAGAGCACAGACTCTAAAATGAAACAGGTGCTTCTCATTGGAGTGGTTTGTCTCTGGACAGATCTGCTGCCCTCTCTGTGCCTCAGTTTCCTTATCTGTAAAATGGAAATAATTGCACTTCCTCAAAGGTTAGTGTGACCATCTAGTGATATGAACAAATGCAAAGCTATTCAGCCACAGGCTGGCACACAGTAGTTGCTTTATAAATGGGAGTAATCATCATCATTGTTACACTCTTTCATTTTTCCCTGAGGAGAAGTTACCTCCACCTCCCCCACAGCCTTTGTGGGAAGTTGCCAGTGGAGATCTGCCATGATTTAGGGTGTCTCAGGCCCAGTTTGGAGTGACAATGCAAGATTAATGTTGAAGACAGATGTCACGTGTCCGTTACGTCCAGGGAGATTGTGTATCTGGAATGTGAGGCTAAACTGTGGTTCAGGAATTGGGAAAGGAATTATCCTCTGAGTCTAAATTTTACTCAGGTAAAGAAACATGGTATTTGAGAAGCAGAAATCATATCCATATTTTCCACTATCCTGACACGTAGTAGGTGTGCAATTGACATTTGTTACTTGAATGAATGAATCAAGAGAGAAAGAAAAGTTAAAAATCTGGAATTAGAGGGACTTTTCCTTCAATTCTGTAAGTGTCATTTTTTTTTTTTCTTGCGCCCAGTGCTGGGTGATAGAGGGACAGTAAACTGGAAGTCAGGAACTTATTTTTTAGCCCTGGTGCTATAGGCAAGTCATTTAATATTTCTGAGCCTGGTTTCCTCATTTGGAAAATGAGAGATTGGGCAACAACCTGTGGAGTGTAGCTCACTAAGCTAAAGGTAGCCCCACCCTTCTCGTTACTTAAAGATGTTTTTAACAGTAGACCTGAACTTGAAGCTACTTACTGCCGGCCGAGCTCTCAAGGCTGAGGACAGCCTGAAAATGTTGTTAAACTGAATCTAGATCCACACGTTCCTTTTGAGTCTGAGGAAGCTATAAATCCACTGAAGTTGAGTCCAAAATATTACGTGTGTACATGTGTGAATGAGAGCATGAGAATGTTCCTATGAATTTTTCTACACAGAGGGACCTAGTTTTTTTTTAATCCTCACCCAAAGATATATATTTTAATTAATTTTAGAGAGAGGGGAAAGGAAAGAGAGAGAGAGAAACATCAATGTGAGAGAGAAGCGGATCGGTTGCCTCCTGTATGCCCTGACCAGGTTGTGAACTTGCAACCTGGGTGTGCGCCCTAACCAGGAATCAAACCCGCAGTCATTTGGTATATGGGATGATGCTCCAACCCACTGAGCAACACTGCTCAGGCCTGGGTTCCTTAGCTTTTATTGAATTCTTTTAGAGGCCGAAACCCCTCCGAGTTTTACTTGTAGAGAAGTTAGGTCTGGGATGGTCTGACTGTGGGCGTCTTCACAAGTAGTAGGATCCCAGGGGTGGAGGTGGGCGTCTTGACTCCATGGCTTCATTTTTCTGTGTTTGTAGCCCAGGCTCTTCTCATTTCTGGCTCCAGTGATTCCCCTGCTCAGTGGGCTGGCAGTGCTCCACACTTCTACCCAGTTTGCCCATTTTTCTGCTCCTGCCCCGATGTTTCTGCTAATGAGAACATTTTATTTTCCTTTCCCCTCTCTCTTTTCTCCTTGATGGCTGGTTGCCCTGGGGACTCTGACAGTTGGCCGTGTTTACATCAGGTAAGGTGCATTTCATTTTACTTTGTCTTTCATCACCTGTGGTTGCACAAGACACTCCTGGTCTCAGGAGACTGCTGTCAGAAACTGCAATCTCCCCTGCTTGTGGGCTCATTGGCTTGCTTTCCCTCAACCCCCATTATCCACCTGCCGCTGACAGGCACTTGAGGAGACGGATCAGTGTGGTACCCGGGGTGGTCCTGGCCGCTGCCAGTGGCTTTTGTGGCCTTTGCAGGCCGCTGCCTCTCGGGGTCTCAATTCCTCAACTGGAAACTGGGTTGGATTTGATAATATGTTAATTTTTTATTTTTGAGATTGTGCCTCTAGAAAGTGTCTCCTATCATATCAACCTTCCCCCTACTCTTAAAGGTCTTGAAAATGTTAGGAAGGGGAAAACATTTTGGTCTCAACAGAGAGCTGTTGTGACAGGAAGAACGTCTATTTTCCCAGCTTTAGATTATTATGAAAACCAGGTAGTAAGTATTCACCAAGACCCAGGCCTGGCATTCACAACGGCCTATGAGTAAGCACTGCAAGCTGGCTGCCTCCACGGTGGTTGTCAGTGGAGCCCCACACTAGTAGGGGGCTTAGGAACGTGGGGGGAGAACAGAAGTTCCAGAAGTTAGAGCCTCAGCATCTGGATGGGAGAAGGTAGGGGAAACTTACCTGCTAAGTTCAGGTTGTGCATTCTGATCCCAGTGGAACCTGGTGAAACGTGTCTGCTATAAATTTATAAAGAGCACAGTATACATAAGTTTTGGGGCTTTTGGCAGTAAGATAAAGGAAATAAGATATAAAACCATTAAACACTGCCTTTTCCTTGGCTCTGAAGTCCTAGATTCACATTTATAGAACGCGTTTTTCTCTCCTGCTTGCAGTGGTTGGAGACCAGACCTAACAGACAGGTGTGTCCAGTTTGCAAAGCTGGGATCAGCCGAGACAAGGTCATCCCCCTCTACGGCCGGGGCAGCACTGGGCAGCAGGACCCCAGGTGAGGCCTTGGAGCACCTCTCACACCCAATCTTCCCCTTTGGACATGAATTCACTTCCATTCAGCACCGACTCACCCCTCGCTTTACTTAGTGCTCGCAGACCCTCAGTTCTGAGGCAATTGGAGTCCAGATGGAAGTTAGCCAGGAGGGGAAGGGAGCCAGGTTGCCACTTGCTGAGCTATAGTACAGATATCCGCTGAGCGTCTGCCAGGGGCAGGCGATGTACTTGGTGCACAAGACATCACAGTTGCAAGTGCTGTGAAGGAGCAGCCTGGGAAGCAAGGTCCCAACAGGAGTCTGCAAGGAGGTGGCTTGCTGTAGCAGTGCCGTATAAAATATGGGGGGAGGAAGGGACGGGGGTCTGGGAGGCTTGTGGAGTTGAAATTTCTGGAAATGAAGGTGTGGGTGGGTCTGGCATTCTCCAGACACAAGTACTGAGAGCCCTTTGTGATGTGGCGCATACACACATACACACACACACACACCCCTAAACTCCCCAGCACACCCAGTGGCCAGACACATTGGACTTCTCACTTGGAGTGCGGGAAACGAGTTAAGTCGGCTCGCGTGAATTGCGCGTACTCCGCGGGAGCCGTCTTTAACTCGGTTCATATAGATTTGCGGTGGAGTGCGGGAAACGTGTAAACTCGGGCCGATTGTAACTGCGTATTACCAAATATTTGTTTGTAATCCACCCTTTTGGTGGATGGAACAAAACCAAAAGACAGAGCCATCTTATATTTTGGCGGGAAATTCACCCGCACTCCAAGTGTTAAAGGGTCTACCCTTTCACGTTCATGAGCCTTTGTATTTGTTGTCCCTTTGCCTCTTCTGCCTGCCCCAGTTCCACCCCTTCTCCTCCTCAAACTTCTGCCCATCTGGAATGAGCAGCCCTAAAGCTACTTCCTCCTTGAAATGGCACTTATTCCCCACATTAGCTGCTCTCACCCATGCTCCCACCCCATTTGGTTCATACCTCTATAAAGGAGGTCCCTCCCAGACTGTATTGTGTTTGGTGGTAGCCCCCTTTAAACCATGAACACCTCAAGAGTAGGGTCTGTCTTCAGCCTTAGTATTGGTAACAACCTACCTTGTGCTTGATGGGTAGCAAGTCCTCAGTCCGGTATTTGTGGGACGCGTGATGGAAGAGGCTGGGGCCCAGAGGCAAGATAGAGTAGAGGACATGCCCAAGAGGAGTGGGAGGTGAAGCTGGAGTTAATGGGCGGCTCAGAGAGACCATGAGTCTCAGCCCTCTCTGCTGACAGGCCACTCTCTGTTTCAGTTTGGATTTGGGATTTTTAAATTTTATTTCATGACCCCTATATTACACTGGTCCAGGGACAGGTGTCTGGCTGGCATTCTGGGTCATGCTGTCTGTGAGAGGAGCAGGCTCAGGGCAGTCTGATGAGCATATTATAAACAAGCTGATTTTCTCCTTGGTTCTCCATAGGTAGAGAACAGTTGCAGGTAGAACAAAGAGTTATTTAGTGTTTGGTTTATTTTGGCATAGGTATGCATGCTGGGCAGGAAGGGGGCAGGGCCCTGGTGAAGAACTCCCAGTTCACTTGGGAGCAGCTCAAAGCATTATGTAATAAACCTATCTACACCGTTTCTGTTTCAGAGAGAAGACCCCGCCCCGTCCTCAAGGCCAGAGGCCAGAGCCAGAAAACAGAGGGGTGAGGAAAATGCTAGGGGAAGCTTCTAGAAATAAGTGCATGGCTTCAGAAGTTTCTCTGTTGGCCCTATACTTTTTCCTCCTTGATTAAAAGTAAAGGATATTTTGTAGAATACAAAAGGATAAGGAAGAAAAAATCGCTTATAATCCCACCATCCAGAGATAACCACTGGAAACATTTTGGTCTATTTTCTTTTTTATTTTTCTATAATTATATATATACACACATACATATACACACACACACACACACACACACACACACACACACACTTTTTATGTCTGTGTGTTTTATTTATAGATTTGTGTGTGTGTGTGTGAATATATATATATATATATATATGTATATATATATATATATATATTTACTATTTGGCTCCTGTTTTATAACCCTCTTTTAAAATTTCATTCATTTTATACTAAGTGCCTTCTGTGTGCTGGGCATCATTCTAGGCATTGGTGATGTATCAGTGAACATAGCAAAGATCTTGCCCTTACGGAATTCACAGTCTCAGAGAGGGGTAGATTTTCATTGATATATCTTGAGATTTTACATGTCAGTAATATTTTATGTAGCTGTTTAATGCTCCAATGTATGGACTTCACATAATTCATTTAATTCATTTTTGGACATTTAGCTGTTTCCTTTTTTTTCCCTAACCTAAAAATATTCTGATGAACTTAGAGATAGATTTTTGAGTAGGTTCATGATTATTTTACTGGGATAAATTCTTAGAAGTAGAATTACTGGCTCAAAAATTTTGTGCACTTAAATCAGGCATTAGCAAAATATTTATTCATACTTCCAGAATCGCACAAGTATATTTTTATTTCCACATCTTTTAAAAAATATATATTTTTTTATTGATTTTAGAGAGGAAGGGAGACGGAGAGAGAGATAGAAACATCAATGATGAGAGAGAACCATTGATCCGCTGCCTCCTGCGCGCCCCCTACTGGGGATCGAACCTGCAACCTGGGCATGTGCCCTCACCGGAATCAAACCCGGGACCGTTCAGTCCACAGACCGACACTCTATCCACTGAGCCAAACCGGCTAGGGCATTTCCACATCTTTTTTTATCTGTATGCTGTGTGTGAGTGTGTGTTTTATGTAGTCGTCACCAGTCTGTTGCTTAAATTTTAATTTTGGCAATATATTCCGTATGCTCTGCCCTGTCCTCTTTATTCTATTTATTTTGTTGAATACTGATGCATTATAATTTAGGTTTTCACATTGAAGGACCTATTAGGTTCTTCTAGGTTTTGCTGTTATAAATAATGCTATAGTGACCAACTTGGCACATTTCCCTCCCCCCGCCCCCCTTATTTGAATTATGGCATTTCCTTAGGATTCCCAGGAGTGTGATTATTGAGTCAGGGATCTTGAAATTGAGGGTCTCTTCTCCAGATTACCCTCAATAGTAACAGCAACAAACACTTGTTGAATGGTTATTATATGCATGTGTAGCTTATACTGACGTTCCCTTATTATTGGGCATAAGGGTTATCGCCAACTTTGCTGCTACAAAACATGTAGAAACTTTGACTGGCTAGCGTGGGAGTCTGGGAAAGAACCGGGAGCTCTAAGAACCTGCCTTGCTTCAGCAGAGAGTTTTACTTTGGGTAGAGCCCGATCTTTCTGGCATTCAGATTTCCTTCGCTGGGATTCCTTGTAGGCTAGATGGGCCACCAGATTCCTCTGCCTCGGGATCTAGATGGGAGGAAAAGATGTTCCCCCCTTGGAAACAGGCGGCAGAGGGTAGGGAGGAGAGGTGGATGCCACATGTAAGGTGACGTGTTTAACAGGTGCGAGAGAGACCTGCTTGTTCCACTTCTGAATTGCATTTCTTCTGCACAGGGATTTCAAGGATTTGGATTTGGAGATGGTGGCTTCCAGATGTCTTTTGGAATTGGGGCGTTTCCCTTTGGGATATTTGCCACGGCATTTAACATAAATGATGGGCGGCCTCCTCCAGGTAAGACCCTGTTCCCTTGGGAATCCTGCTTGAAGGCTCTCTGGAACTCAGCAGTATGTAGGTGATAGATAATTGTTACTATAATCAGCCTTCAAAATGTGCTAAACTCTTTCCAGGTTACTGGTAGTCGTGCTAACGATAATACATACTTAGCAAGTATCAGGCATGTTCATAGTGCTTTCCGTTACAAATTCAGGATCCCCATGAGAACCCTTGAGACAGATGTGCAATTAGCTCCATTTTGCAAATCAGAAAATACTTAGTGATGTTTCCCAAGATGTACCCCGTGCCCATAAAATGAAAAGGTATAAACCATACCCAGCTGAAGAAAAGCCTAGTTCTGCACATGTACCCCATCCTCACTTGGACCTTTGGGGGCTGGAAAGGGCAGTGTGTGACCCCAAGGAGTCAGGGTCTCTCTGTTCTCTGGCATCTCTGTCCAGTTTCCCCCGGGACACACATGGGGCTGGTCCCAAACCCCAACCCTTTGGGAACTATGCCTGTGTCTGCCACCTGCTGCTGCTTTTCTGCCTCCAGTCAGCTTGAGAATGCCAGCTGCAGTCTGTATAGAGCAGGGTGACGAGGTGGGTGCTCTGTACTCTGTCACAATATGACACCCAGGCCAGGATCCTTACCATGGAACCTGCAGAACCGCCAAGGTCAGCTGAGCACAGTAGGGACCAATGCGTACTTCCTGGCCAGGAGCTTAAGCTGTAGGGACAGTAACCTACTCCTGGGCCATCCCAGGTGTCCCCTGGCCTCACCCTGGTGCCTACCAGGCAATCACTGAGTCTTTGTTGACTGCCTGCCTGCATGAATCCATCAGAGCACCTCATTGGAGAAGAGTACAGCACCAAGAGGCCATGAGGAAGGAGGCCCCAAAGGGCAGGGCCCCGTGAAGGCAGCAGGAACCTGCCTGGTAGCTCGCTTCCTTCTAACCTGGTCCAAGGTTCACCTCGCGTTCCCCAGGAAACCAGGCTGCCCTCTGGATCCTCCTGCCACAAGCAGACAGTTTTCTCCTGTGATGATACCACTTGCTCATTGGGGTGGAGGTGCTCTTAACTCTCTTTCTCTAATAGTCAGGACAGGGAGCTATACATAGCACCTTTTTTCAAAGCAGCGAGGAGGGGAAGCCCAAGTTCTCAGCCCACTTCTACCCCTAGTTTGCTGGGCGGTGAGGGAAACCGGTCATTTTGCCTGTCTGGGCCCTAGCACTCTCCTCTGGAAAAGGAAGGCACTCCACGCCGGGCTCTCTGAGACCCTCCGGGTTCAGCAGCGCCAGAATCTAGAGACTCCATGACTAGGAGGCGGTGCTTCGGTTTCTTTTTTTAATTGAATTTATTGGGGTGACATTGGTTAATAAAATTATATAGGTTTCAGCTCTCCAATCCTATAATACATCATCTGCATATTGTATTGTGTATTCACCACCAACTTTGATTTCTTCCTACAGAAAATGGGAATAGTACTCACCAAGCAATAATGTGTGTGCAAACACTGTGCACACAGAAGGTGCTTAACAAACGTAGCTTTCCTTTCATTATTCCCTCTAAGAGTTTCCCCACTTACTTGCACCTATAGGCCAAACCCTCTGAGGATCCATTGGAGATCTTGTCCTCATTGTTATATTATTCCACATATTTCCACAATTCCAGTTTTGTTTTGCCTGATGTTATTTGGGGTTTGGAAATCTTTTTAGTGTGCAGGATTCTGTAAAGAGATGAAGGTTGATGCTTCTCGACTTCGGTCCCAAGTGGGCGTGTGCACAGCTGCAGCGCGCTAACACCTCTCTTCTCCCTCCTGTCTCCAGCTGTCCCCGGAACGCCCCAGTACGTGGATGAGCAGTTCCTGTCACGCCTCTTCCTGTTTGTGGCCCTGGTGATCATGTTCTGGCTCCTAATTGCCTAATGCTGGGCTCCTGGCCTACATCCATGGCAGGGCCTCTGGACTGGTGCCACACCACCCCCACTCTTCATGTTTGGCTTCCTGGATAATCCCGAGCCCTGGAATCAGTGGGGTCCGTAACACATCAAGGAATCTTCTCCATCAGAGCTTTAGGACTCAAGACTGTTGTCGAGAACCCTGGAGTGTGGCCACTGCCATAAACCCTCAGGCCTTGGCACTGAATCGTCTCTCCTGGGTTACAACATGAAATCCTATTCCAGCCAGCTCAGTAGCTCCTGACTCTGCACCAGGAAGAGGCAGAAGAGAGAAACTGTCGGTGCAACTTCACCTGCGTTTAATGTTATAAGAACAAAGGGATGAACCAAATGTTGATTGTGGAAACTTCCTCTCATCTCATTAAATACCCTTGGTAAGTGGCCTCTGAGGTCAGTGGGGGTCCTCATACAGAGAGGTTCCCCTGCCAGATCTCAGTGCTGCTCTGCCCTATTCCCTCCTTCCTCTCCCTCCTCGGCAGAGGTGCCAGAAACTGCTGTCCTATAAAGATCCTAATTGCAGCAGCTGAAGCTGGAGGCGCATCATGAACTCACCAGAGACCCAAAGATCTTTTATTGGCTCTGGCCATCCTCAGCGTCTTTGGCCCGAGAGCGGCTTGAATGACCTCCTTGTTTTTGGCATAGATCATCCTGGGAGATGTGTCTCCACTCACAGATTTCTCATCACCTTTCCCCCCAAAACCACACACATGTTCCTCTCTGCCAGAGGGCACAGCCTCCACTGCTGCTGTGCATGAGGAAAGACCTGCAGTTGGGGCTGCAGAGGGGTTCAGAGCTCCGATGCAGGAACAGCCGCACAGCAGCCCTGTCCCCAAGGCCGCAGAAGCTCTGTGTATATCTCCTCGCAGACCTGCCCAAAGGAAACGGGGGTTTGTCAAGTCAGCCCCGCTGCATGTTGAAGACCATCCGCCAAATTGTCCTTAATGAAGAGGCCGCAAAGGGGGAAGCCCCTGATTTGATCCGGATTGTGGACACCTCCTTGGACATGTGCTAAATCCCGGGAAGCCTGTTCCTCCAGAGCAGGCAACCCGGTGATTGTTCAAGTCGGGCAGGGGCCTGGGAGCCTCAGCACGGTGACACATGGGGTGGCCTTTCTGTGGGAATCATGCTGCCCAAGCCCTTGATTTGTGTTTCAACTTCACAAGCTTCTTTCTCCGAATCTGATGGAGGGAGTGTGGTCCAGGCAAGAAGACGGTTCACTTGGTGGAATAGTCTGTCAGGCCTCTTCCTAGAAATCCAGTCTATTCCAGAGACCCCAGGCTGGGAGGAGATGGCCTTCCTGGGGGCCTCTGTCTCATCACCGGGCCACAGTGCTCCTGGCTTACCTCCAGCAATAGCCAACAAAGGGTAGAAAGCCCCACCTAATGGTTTGTTTTTCTTTCCCAGATACGGCTCTGCATAGCATATGGAATCCAGGACCTTATCCAAGATGGGAAGCCCTCCTTCCCTCTGCATAGCCCCCATCCCTTTCTCCTTGTAACCTGTCAATGCCAGAGTTCAGTGTTAAAAGACAAAATATAAGTATTGAATAAGTGGTTCATTTGCTGAATCCATTTGATAAGAATAAGCCACCAGCTTTACAGTGTGCCTCATGGATTTTAAATACCTTGGGGGCACCCGCTCAATCGTGCTCTTTTTATCACCTAGAAATCCCCAAAGTGGAAGGTGCCCCTGGAGTATCTCAGCTGGAGAAGGCCGGTGGGGTCCCTCAGTGCAGTGCCTCCACCTAGTGGTGGGGGAGAGCACGTCAATCTATTGGGCCCAACAGAAAATGGGTTTCCAGAAGAAAGGTTAAAGAAGGGATGTGGGTAGGAAGATGAATCACTTGGACTCTTTAATGAAATGGAGCGAGTCAGGAAAGCTCTACCAGCAAAGGTATAATCACTTGGACTCTTAAAGGAAGTGAGCCCAGATGAGCTCTACCAGCAAAGGTATCCCAGGAGCCTGTTAGCAAAGCCAGGCTGGCCACCTGCCCTTTGATTTTTCATCTTATAGGTCCCCACTCATGCTCTGCCAGGGGCTGGGGCAGGAGAGCCGATTTGGGACTGCTGGCCCAGCCCTGATAAGGGAGCCCCCCTCCCACGACCCCTCTGCAGGCTCACCACCACCACCCCACCCCACCCCCACCCCCCACCAAGGCAGTTTTCCCTTCTTTTGTGTGTGTTTTCTATGTTCTTAGTCTCTACTCCTATTCCTGCCGCCTTTGCGGATCAGGACCAGCTCCCAACCACAGACAGAAAATGATACCATGTACAGCGGCACACCTTGACCAGTTGCTAATTTTCACTGTTGTGAAAGTGATTTGATTTAGAATTAAATGGTTTTACATTACTGCGAGCTGTGGGCTGCTTATCCTTGTCATGGGGTCAGGGGGACGGGTTAAGGAGGAGTCACACTGGCCTGGCCCCTGTGTGTCCTTGGGAATGTCACCCTGAAGACAAAGTCTTCAAACAGCCATCGAGGAGTAGGCTGGAGGCCTGGCCTCATCCATAGCCCTGCCCAAGGGGTGACCGGTCTGACAGGCAGCACTGGCCCCGACAACTATGGAATTCCTAAGCTCGCAGGCTGCCACACGGAGCTTAGCTGTGGCCCATCAGAGCCGGAGGACAGACGTTACTGTCAGCAGCTTCCTGCATGCTCTGTGACGGCAGGCGGCCTGCCCAGCAGGGTGTGCTGCTCCACGGAATTCCTCGGTAGCAGAATGGGAGATGGAAGATGGTGAGGTCACAAACCCGGCCCAGCCTCAGGCTTCCCAGCACACCAGAGCTACAGGTCATCCCTCAGAATGGAGCTCTTTTCTCCCTTACACTGTGACCTAATAGTTATCAAGTTGATGAGTAGCGTGGCTCAGTGGTTCTCAAGGCCCCTCAGCCAGCTAGCAGCTGCCAGAAGCCAGTCTGCTGTCCTAACTCCTGGTCCAGTGCTCTCTCCTCCATAAGGAGGAGCCTGCAGGACAAGTCCAGTAGACAGGTGTGTTTCCTTTGGCCTACATGGCATTTTCTGAACTTTAATGTTCCCAACATTTTAAAAAGTGGAAAATTTCACCTAAACATCTGGATTTTGGTTTGTCTTGAAAAACTGGGAAGATCGGATGTGCTGAGTTCATTTATATCCTTCCTTGGTCTAAGGATCTGACCCTGGAGTGGTGGTTGCACCCACCCCCAGTATGTACTGAGTGTCTGTTTATCCATAGTGGCGCAGAGAAGTGGCTTCTCTGAGCTGGAAGCTTCTAAAGAAAGTCCACGCTTAAGCCCCTCCCCCAAAGCTAGTTAATGGAGACCTATTTTCTCCATATTCCTATTCTTGATTCGAGGAGTGTTTGAGGGTCAGGAGACCTGGGCTCCCAACCCAGCTCAGCTCCTCATGAGCTGTGCCATTTCGAGGTAGTGGAGCGTATCCTCTGGGCCTCAGCAGTCCCCATCTGTAAAATGGGCTGAGTCCTCTGTGTTGATGCCTCCCGCCCGCGCGCTGCATCATCTTTACCAGCTCCGGCCCCCACCGAGGGAGCCGCTCACACTAGGGGGCGCTAGGGCCGCCTCCAAGCCAGGGGACGGGGCCTGTGTGGGGCGGGGCCTGCAT